AATTCATCTAGATATTCTGAGGATATACTGCGAACAATGTTGCTGCGGACATAGGAATATCATACGAATATCAGACGCGACCTTTTTAGTATATTCTCAGAATATAATGTGCTATCTAGAAAAAGTCGAATCCAGATCCGATTCTCAGATTCGGTTCCGGATTCGTAGCAAACTTATAGCGAATTCAGTTGGATGCATTAGTGCGCGCTGAATGTATATTAAAGTCATTATATTATACGCTCATTTAACCTGAATGTAAAAGTGAAATACAAATATTTCTCTGAAAGATGATTTTGAGAGGATAGTCATTGTCCAACGTCGTGTTAATCACCAACGTCAAATTATCAAAAAGATACTGAAGGAAGTCAAAGTCATTTTTTCTTATTTTAGCATCAGCGATGATGGATGACAACGGGCAGACCATCGGTGTGCCAAAACTTTGCTTGTATATGGTGTTATTAAATATAAAATAAGTTGAGTTCAAAACGAAACGAATCGCCAATAGGAATTCAATTTTAGATAAGTTACTTTTTTTAGACATAAAATTCCATTTTTTTATTCACACAGCCAATAGCCATGTATAGTGGTATTTTTGTGAAAAGTGATACTACATCTCTAACGATATTAATTTACAGTTTTTGTCAATTTTAATTTTTTTGAGATTGTCAACTAATTGAAAACTGTTTTTTATATGGACTATCACAGTCTTAGGTTTATAATTTCAAACAGAATACTGTATAAGAATGAAGCTAATTTGTATAATGGACTATTTATTGAAGTGTGACGATAATATCGCCCATGATCCTCGGACCAAGGTCTCGAGACGGCTCGAGATGTTTGGTTACGCACATATGCTCACACATGTATTCGCGACTCGAGACAATAGAGACATTTAAACTTTCTTATATATAGATTAGTGAGCACCGCAGCCACGCGAATTCCCTTTAAATAGAAACATCATTCTGAATTCGTTCCTAGGCGTCTAAGGTAAGTCCCACACTACATCGCCTTACTGATGAGTCTAGTAGTGTGGGACCAGGAAGAAACGCTGCGGCCGACCACAAAGCTTCGGGTCAGGCCTCCTTAGTAGACATCCACAATTATTTCGTTCAATCAAAGCGTGAGCTCTGGTGAGCTCTTTGACTCGCGTAACTTATCGACAATTTGGCAACGAATCGCGGAATCGCGAGCCATGGCGAGCAACAGCGAGCCACCCTATTCCTATTATGGCGCGCCGTAGGACCGCAATTTTAGCTTTTTCTATATCGATTTTAAGACTGACTCTGCGACGAGTCTGAGTGAGCCAAGACGGATCACGAGACATGCCGAGCTATTATAAATATTACATATAGTATTTAATCTAGATTTTAATTTAAATTTAATTTAAAAAATAATATTTCAAATTAAGCTTTATATAAAATATCACGCAAAAAAAATGTTTTGCTGCTTCAGCTAGAATTATTGCTGTATTTCGTATCTGATTGAAAATTATACGGAGTTAATAGTAAAATGAAAAAGACTTGTATTCATAGTCGGTTCTTATTTTAAGACCGTCTTAAGTAATATGTCTTAAGCCGCTAATGCGGCCCTCTTAAGACTGTACTTAAGACAACCTCAAATATAAGAATCGATTATGAATACCGCCCTAAGAGTGTATTATATAAATATAAGTGTTTATAATTCAAAGTATTTGTAGCTTATGAAGATGTGGAGCAAATTCGAAAAAAAAAAACATTTACTATTATAATTTAGCTGTGTTCTTATGAGAAGAGATATTTACGTACTTATCTGTGCGTCGAAAGAATCGTACTGTAAGAAGCTCGAGATTACTGTGTGGAATCCAACCCTTTCGTATAGACACTATTCTTTTTATATAATTGTAATAAAAGAATGTTTTAGAAGTTACTACTGAAGACCTCCAAAATTAGAGCTGGAACGTCGTGTAGCAAGGAAAATGTTCGAAAATATAAATTGCGGCAGCTCTTACAGGTTTCTTCTTTGAAGTACTAGCAGCAATAGAATAAGTAATATATACTAAAGCGAAGAGTACAAATTCTTTTATATTGCATAACGCATAAGGCATAAAGAATCAACCAATCAAATTCCTCTATTGTATGGAAAGAAAGAAAATAAGAAGCTTTAATTCATTTTTTTAGGCTTTATGACGTTATTTATATAAATAACACGTAAACTATTAAATTTAATTACTGAATTTGATTAGCAGATAAACGATATTTGTCTTTTTTTTATTGAATAAAAATTTTCTTTATTCATTCATACATGTATTTATGCATGCAATCTATATGCAAAACTTTCATTTTCTTATGCATTATGCGTTAGGCCGGAATCAGACTATGCATTGAAGATTGAGATTAAAGATTAAAGATTGAAATTTCACCAATGAGGACAAAGAAATTTTGGCTCCTTTTGTTCTGATTGATCAAACATCAATCTTTCAATCTTCAATCTCATTCTTCAATGCGTAGTCTGATTCCAGGACTATGCGTTTCAGAGGTATGTGTTCCCCGCTTAAATCTATGGCCTTATGTTGGCTATCTCGTCGTTACGACGTAAATAACACGTAAAAAATTAAATTTAATGACCAAATTTAATTGGCAGATAAATGATATTTCTTTTTTTAAGAAATAAAAATTTGCTTTATTTATTTGCATGTATTTACATGTATTTACACTTATTTACAATTTATTTATGCATGCAAAATAAATGCACGCGTGAGTAAATAAAAAATTCACCAAGAATAAGAAAAGTCATGTTTCGTTCGAGCTACGATGCGTTTCGTAACTTGATACTCTTTAGTGAATATTAATTGTAATTGGTTGATCCAATGGCGAGACTCTCCTTCTATGTCTTGGGATTACAACATCAAATCTGTTAATCTGATGGTGATTTTTTCTTAAACATGAAGGGATTGATATTTTGAAATTGTATTGCTGAGGATGGTTCCAAGGTGAACTGAACCGTACTGTTAGTTTTTGGACGCAGCCTATGAGGCGTCGTCTACAATACACGGAGTAAGAAGTAAGAGTAAGAAATTGACCAATCACAGTCGAATGTGAGAAGAATAATCGACTGTGATTGGTCAATTTCTTACTCTTACTTCTTACTCCGTGTATTATAGACGGGCCTTAATACACGCAGTCACACATACGTGTCAATTTGCGTACAATGAATTCGTCGCGATAAAGCGTCTAAATCTAATTCTAAGAACTCGACGTTGTATGTTCGTGCAAATTACGTGTTTGGGAACTATTATTTCGTACGTTCGGGTTGCAAAGCTTTCATATCAAGCAAATGTTGTCACGACTTGACAGCTGAGACGTCATGTTACACTAAGAAATGGTAAAAAATATATCGATTTCGAAATTTTTGATCATTCTCAGCGTAGACTCCATTTCACAAACACGTATTAATGCGTATACTTTAATCCTGGAAAAGGATTTTCCAATCCGTGAAAGAGAAAAAGAGTATTCATTATACAAAAATTATACGTGTTTAATCGGTAATACAGACGTCTTTAGGATCCCCTTTATCGTACTTTCATTTTTGCACTAAAAATTCATTTTTACGTAAAAATGAAAATAAAAGGTACAGCTTGCATTAACCTTGATCTTGACAAATGTTATCCAGGACATGATCCTGAATAACATTCAAGAGGTTTTAACTGTCGGTCGAATAACTTGCGTAATACTAATACTGGCTGTACTGTAACTTTCGAGCTTTATAACTGGAAAAATACTTAATAAAAATATATTTTATCATAGCGTTTTGAAAAGCTCTCGAGGTAAACTACAAGAAAATGTAATAAAAAATAGGGGATACCATTTAAAAAAATCGATGTGATCTTGACCTGATCTTGGCGATGCCACCCAAGATCAAACTCATAGCACCAGTAAATAGGTCTTTAAAAAACCTACAACTCTCTTTTGTCTAAACATTTTTTCGATTGGATCTTATACTGCGAAGATAAAAGGGTGGGACAAGTGGTCTGAAACACCCGGTATACTTGCGTTGCCTGATAATATTGTATATATAATATATACTATTATAATTCTTAATTTATAATTTATTTGTATTTAATATATATATTCAATATGTATTAATTTATATCATTATTTGTAATGATGCGTGCCACATATTTTTTGAGATAACGTTGATATAGATTGCATTTACATTATTAATTTCTTATTTTCAGTTTTACACATTTAATAAATCAAAATTAAACATATGATGAATAAATAAAGAAAGGAGAAAAGAGAGACATATAGATAAAAAAAACTGCATTGTAATAGCAGTCACGGCCGTACACAGTCTACCGTACGCCGCATTTATTAACATATTAATATGACATTTAATTGATTCTCTAAAAATCAATTCTCTTTGTCATTATTTATTAAAACTATTCATAATTGTTTTAAATAGCTGCTTTTATCAATATTCATTATTAATATTAAGAAAGATAATTTTTTTTAAATGAGAAAATAGGACGATTTTAATGGTGTTTCTAACTTAATTTTAAAAATACCCTTTCACATAAAATAATTACATAATATTATTACTGAACGTCTTTAAATTTTGTATTTAAGTAAATTGAAAACTCCTAAGTATTACATAGTATCGAGAGATGTATATCTCTCGTCATGGTTTATTTTACATATCAAAATATCATTATAAAATGTGAAGATCAACCGAGTTCACAACGTTTTTTTAATGTAATCACTTACCGTTGGATGTTTTAAATTAATAACTCTTTCCAAAGCAATGAATAATACATAATTTTCAGCACTTAATGAACTAGCAGTTCGGCAGAATATTTTTTTTCGTACATATAATGATTTATTGCTATAGCATTTTACAAATGATTTTTTTCAGCAAAGTTTTATAAATAAGCTTTATTTGTCTTCATTCGTATACAGATATTAATTTTTGTTACATTTTGCTGCTTATAACTATTAATAAGAAATTATTTTATGCAACGATGTGGATAAATTATGCAATGTTACGTCTGACGTTGTAAAAATAATAAAATACATATTTCTGAATACATATTTTATCATTTTGATTAAAGAATCTTTAGATACGTGTTTTCAACAAGTTATTCTTTACGTCGTCCATAAGTTTCACAAAGATCGGATTGCCACCTAAACGATCAATTTCAGTTCTTATCTTTTTTTCCAATTCATCAAGTACTTCTTTTGCGTACTTAAATGAACCGTAACTCTCTAATACTTTAACGCAGTAACGTTTTACTTCAATATTTTTCGATCGTTGTCTTAAAATATCTTGAATTACTGTTAAGGATTATAACAATATCTAAAATTTTGTTATAAAAATTTTCAAAATAGAGATATGTTGACCATTTAATTTTCTTATTGTCTACTTAATACAAAATATGTTTCTTAGCATCTACTTATTTCATATTAAATATTATGTTTGATAAAGGATACTTATTATTTTCTGATCGTCAGGATTGTTTCTAAGCGCATGAATAATTAGGAAACTCATTTTTCCTTCGGTCAAATCATCGCAATAACTGTTCTCGTTAATATCCTGTAATAATAATAAATTTTGTTAAATTTAGTTCAAGTAATTAAATTAAATTATTGGTTACCTTATCGTAACGTAAATTACTATAATCGTCATATATCTGGCGATACAATCCTAGAGTACTTGCCAGCGACAAGACGTCTTCTTCATAAGCAGAAAATAGCTTCATTAATTTTACCACCAGTATGACTAACCAACCACTCTCTATAAAATTAATTAATATTCAAATTATACATATATATGTAATGCGCTTCGTACATAGCAGAAGCTTACAAAAGCAAAAATATTTACTTTTTACTGCTACAATATTGTAATCTTTTTCTGTTGGACAGATGAAATTTTCCTTCCAATATATATCCATTCCTTGACCTGTATAGAATTCCATCATCTGTTCAATGAAAATTTTAACTGCCTGTTAAGATATAAAAAATATAATTGAAATAAAAAATGTATAATCAAAATATATAATCAAAATTACAAAGAAGCGTTATCGGTTGGTACGGTAAAAAGTGTAATTTTATAACGAGAATTATATTTTAATAATTTATTTCATGATTTATACGGAAAAAGTCGTACAACATTAAAATAGACCGGACGTTCAGAATTAAGTTTTAATCATCTTCAATAGATAAGAAACGAATAAAGATTGGAATTGACTCAATGATTCTACATCTTATTTATGCATGCAGAAAATCGAAAAAGGAATTTTGGTAAAACTATCTATTTCACATTTTGATTTCTGTTATAACATATCAAGAAAGTAAATCACGCTCAGTTTTTCAAAGTTTTACACAGACACAATGCAACTACTTATTACCATGGGATGTAAATTAATAAGTTTTTCACAAGTAATAAGTTGTAAATAATTTGCAGCGTTTATTGAGTTGTGAAGTCCATAAACAGAATGGGTTACGGGAAAACCATTTCGAACAATGGCCTCATCTTGAATATCATCGAATCTATCAAGGAACAAAAATTTTATAAATATATAAAAATATACTCAAATTAATCTTTTCAGTTAATAGAGGGGCTGTATTATCTTTCTTGATTTATTTACGTTAAAAAAAAGTATAATAAAAAAAGGTAAGGTCAGAAATATAACAGCAAGTTGTAACAGCAAGACAATAATTGATGTGGAAGATCAAGATTTATCTAAAAAAATTTTAATTTTTTATATAAATCATTGTTAAAACATGTCATACCTCCGCAAGAAGAATGACATAAATTTTTTGAATTTTGTATTACGAGCGGATCGTATTCTAAATGCATTGGCTTTCAGGAAAAGTGATATATATGTTAAATTCAAATACTTCCTAAAGAAAAATAATACAAGGAAAAGTTTTAAAAGTAACATCAAGGGTAACATATAACACCATAACAAAATTAATATCTACATTACTTCTAGAAAAATTGATACAAACCAATTTGTGATTACTTCTAATAAGTTAACTTATATATAATTCTGCCACGAGTAATAAATAATAAATTTTATAATAAACACAATGTTCTCTCCCTCCCCCGCGCCCCTATTTTTCTGAACAATTTCATATTGAACTGAAATTTTATATTGAATTAAAGTGACTCTTTTCACTTTCCTTTTGGGAGAACGATATATTAGATGTAACTACAAAAAAAAGAAAAGAGGAAAATATTCGTAATATATTATATTCTAGAAGAAAATGTAATTTTCCTTGAAAAGGTTGTATCTTATTTCTTATCGCGCGCATATGATTTTAACAAAAATACATAAGTCACTTATGCTTCACAACAAAAAATAACTTACAGGGTCATTACATTATAGGCCATTTGCACTATTTCGTCAATCGGTTGAAATTTATCGAGTGATACTTTAAACCAGTAGTTAAAAATCTTCGTTATTTTTCTATATAAATGTATATCATTGCATTGCAGACTGTATTTGACCGGTTCTAAAAGTATCTGCACAACAGAAATTAAATAAGTAATAAAACGAAAAGTTAATAAAATGGAATTATGAAAAAATAAAAGAGAATGCACTAGAACTGACCTTGTCCTCCTCCGTATTACCTCTCAACGAATAGTAGAAAGGTACAATTTTTTTCATGTCCGTCATGTTACACTCTAAATTATAGTGATACGTAGGAAGCTGTAATTTTGATAAATTTAAACCGAATGGTAAATAAGTTGGTAATATTATTTAATTCCTTGCCTTATAATATTGAGTAATGCCAAACCGTTAAATAAAATCGAATTACATACCAAACGTGTTAAATACGAGCAAAAGTGGGATCCCAAACGAAGTCGATAAAAAGTCGACTATAAGTTGACTAGAGAAGTCAAGAGCATGGTGAAAGGGATAACATGGTGTGTGCAATTTGCAATCATCTCTCTCTCTGAATCTCCGTCATTTCTGTCTCTGAATGTCGATAAGAGACTAAGGTTGCCATCAATGAAACGCTAAACATGGAGTGATATTCATAGTCCGTTTTTATTTTAAAACTTTCTTAAATAATGCCTTAAGATGCACAGTCCTCGGATTGACTTGTGACATGTGGAAATTTGTCTCGATTGGACACCACCAATCAAAGCGACCGGTGCTTAGGAGCTTTGTAGTCTCAAGCACTGTGGCTCGTGTCCAATTGAGCCGTGTCCAATTGGGTGCCACCCATTAAAAACTAACAAAAATATATAATACAAACGTTTCAACCCTTATCGGATCATTCTCAATGTTATTTTTACAATCTTTTTTAAACAATATTTTAATGAAATGTGTGGCGGCTTAATCGCCACAATCGACCCGCCGGGCGAGCATACAATACGCATCACTTCTGAGATGCCCGGCCGCTGGTCGGGCGCGCGCCAGTACTGGCACCTGGCGCTTACGACCGCCGTCGCGTGAGAGCCGCGCGGTCAAGCGCCCGCCCGTACACAAAATTAGTCCAGTGCCGATACTAATAAGACCACCCGCGGAGCGATCGACATCTTCTCACGAGAATTAGAGTGAGCCCTTCCTCGGGCCTCTAACTCAAGTGCAAGATCATTTTTGTGTAACCAGTGAAGTTGAGCCCCTCTCGGGGGCCTTCACGGAAAACGAGCTCTTTCTCGGGCCTCTGCATATCCTCGAAGCGAGCTCGTTATCCAGCCTTCGCATGCTAATGTGGGGCCTAGATAAAAATCTTATATTGACCCAAGTTCGGATGCCAATGCGGGACCTAGATAAAAAAGCGTGACAATCCAAACTTGGCCCAAGTTTGAAGACCAATGCGGGGCCTAGGTAAAATTTTTACATTGGCCCAAGTTTGAATGCCAATGTGGAGCCTAGATGAAATTCTTATATTGGCCCAAGTTTGGAAGCCAATGTGGAGCCTAGACAAAATTCTTATATTGGCCTAAGTTTGGATGCCAATATGGGGCCTAGACAAATACGCGTGACAATCCAAACTTGGGCCAAGCTGGGCGTTCTAACTTGGGCCGCAAATAAAATTAGGAAAATTAACTTGGCCCCGATTATAGCCTAGGAAAAATTTCCACACGGGATCTTAAAACTCTTAAGACAGTCTTGAGTACAATCTTAAGATGTCATATGTCAATCCGAGGACTGTATTGAGCATGTTAAGACATTATTTAAGACAATTCAAAAATAAAAACGGATTATGAATATCGCCCCATGTTTAGCGTTACACAGCTGGCAGCCTTAATCTCTTATCGACATTCATAGACAGAGAGATTGAGGATTCAGAGAAAGAAGGTTGGAAACTGTACACACCATGTTATCCTTCCACCATGTGTGTCGACTAATAGTCGACGAATGTCTTGAAAATAATCGAATATTATAAATCGAGTTAATCAAAATTGACAAGTTACCGAATTTATCAACTATTGAATGGTTAATCCTCCACTTTTTTGTTAACTTATTTAGGCATTGCGATAACTAAAAGATATTTTATCGTTATCAATGTCCAATAAGTTAACAAAAAAATGGAACGTAAACTAAAGGTACAACACATAAGCTGCGGTCGATTTGAACGCTTTCAGCGCTTTTTACTACTTCTATTCTTATTTTACATCTAATGAACGTTAAACTCAGAATGATGATTACAAGCGCTTAAAGCTCATGAGCGTTCAAATTGACCGCAGCCATAGAGTGATCTGATACCAGGAAAAACCCCTTTTTGAAGCTCGCTCTAACTCGAGTGAAAATTTGAGAAGATGCTGGATGCTTTTTTTTTTAATTTTTACAGTAAAATCTTTTATTATAGTATCTAGAGAGAACTCTGCAACCTGCATAACACTGAATGAATAACATTTCACTAAATCATGATAACAACATTTCTGAAGTAAAGCTTTCTTTCAAGAGTAACATGTGCATAGGGGAAAATTTACAAAAAATCCCAAAAAAGATGCTGGATGGTTCCGCGGAGCCCTACTTATAGTACCGCTGAACTAATCTTGAATAGAGGCTAATTAGGCCAGTTCCCAGAGCCAAAAAATTGAGCTAAAAAGGAAATAATTGCCAATAAGCTGTTTACTGATTTAAATGCTTTATTTAGACGTAAATAATGTAAGTTTCATTTTGCGTCCACGATTTCAGAGCGGAAGATGGTAATATAAGTTAAAAATGATACGATTTTTCACTTTTTATGCTATATCTACGAAACTATGCAGAAATTAGTAAAAGTGTTTCAATAGTTTTTTTTTCTCTATTTTCGTACGAATAATTTGAGACCAAGTAGAGCTCTGTGCGACAAATAGTTTCGGAGATACAGTTGTCCAAATTTTCAGTAAAAAGATGAAAAATCGCTTCAAAATGCCCATTTTTTCTATTTTGCCTCCGCAAACGTTTTCGACGTCTCGGACGAGGAAAATATATATAAGATTGTTTGAAGTAGATTTTATGATGAAAAAAATGCAACTATAAAGAGCTCTCTGCGATTAACAGAACCGGAGATATGAAGTTGTGAAATAGGGTCTAAAAGCGGTTTTTCTTATATAGATATCCACTTTTTAACTTATAAATTGCATTTTGCTTACACAAAAATTTTTTCTTGTACCAAATAAGTGCTCAACACCTCCTTCTTTTTACATACAATTTTGAAAATACCTCTTTTTATAATGTATGGCACGATCTTCCTGCGCCACCGTTACACGGCTAACGTTTCGCGCGGGAAATGTAAAATCTCGTAATTCAATGAACACTTTTGTCAAGTGGTTGTTCGACTTGAATGTTCGTAGATATTAATTGATATTGTTCCAGAACAAAAAATCTCTGTGTAAGCAAAGTGCAATTTTTCGTATCAAACTTATAGCGAATTCAGTTGGATGCATTAGTGCGAATTAAATGTATATTAAAGTCATTATATTATATGCTTATTTAACCTGAGTGTAAAAGTGAAATACAAATATTTCTCTGAAAAATGATTTTGAGAGGATAGTCATTGTCCAACATTGTGTTAATCACCAACGTCAAATTATTAAAATAATACTGAAGGAAGTCAAAGTCATTTGTTTATAATTTTTTATCAGCGATGATGGGTGACACCGGGCAGCCCATCGGTGTGCCAAAATTTTGCTTGTATATGATGTTATTAAATATAAAATAAGTTGATTCCAAAACGAAACGAATCGCTATCGGGAATTCAATTTTAGATAAGTTACTTTTTTTAGACATAAAATTTCATTTTTTACTCACACAGCCAATAGCCATGTCTAGTGATATTTTTGTGAAAAGTGATACTACGTCTCTAACGATATTAATTTACAGTTTTTGTCAATTTTAATTTTTTGGAGATTGTCAACTAATTGAAAACTGTTTTTTACGTGGCTATCACAGTCTTAGGTTTATAGTTTCAAACAAAATACTGTGTAAGAATGAAGCTAATTTGTATAATGGACTATTTATTGAAGCGTGGCGATAATATCGCACACGCTCCTCGGACCAAGGTCTCGAGACGGCTCGAGACGTTTGGTTACGCACATATGCTCACACATGTATTCGCGACTCGAGACAATAGAGCCATTTAAACTTTCTTATATGTAGATTAGTGAGCACCGCAGCCACGCGAATTCCCTTTAAATAGAAACATCGTTCTGGATTCATTCCAGGCGTCTAAGGCAAGTCCCACACTACATCGCCTTACTGATGAGTCTAGTAGTGTGGGACCAGGACGAAACGCTGCGGCCGACCATAAAGCTTCGAGTCAGGCCTCCTTAGTGGACATCCACAATTATTTTGTTCAAAGTGTGAGCTCTGATAAGCTCTTTGACTCGCGTAACTTGGCAACGAATCGCGGAATCGCGAGCCATGGCGAGCAACAGCGAGCCACCCTGTTCCTATTACGTGGGATCGCAATTTTAACTTTTTCTATATCGATTTTAAGACTGACTCTGCGACGAGTCTGGGTGAGCCAAGACGGATCACGAGACATGCCGAGCTATCATAAATATTACATCCAGTATTTAATCTAGATTTTAATTAATATTTAATTTTAAAAATGATATTTCAAATAAAGCTTTATATAAAATATGACGCAAAAAAATGTTTTGCTGCTTCAGCTAGAATTATTGCTGTATTTCGTATCTGATTGAAAATTATACGGAGTTAATAGTAAAATGAAAAAGACTTGTATTCATAGTCGGTTCTTATTTTAAGACCGTCTTAAGTAATATGTCTTAAGCCGCTAATGCGGCCCTCTTAAGACTGTACTTAAGACAACCTCAAATATAAGAATCGATTATGAATACCGCCCTAAGAGTGTATTATATAAATATAAGTGTTTATAATTCAAAGTATTTGTAGCTTATGAAGATGTGGAGCAAATTCGAAAAAAAAAAACATTTAATATTATAATTTAGCTGTGTTCTTATGAGAAGAGATATTTACGTACTTATCTGTGCGTCGAAAGAATCGTACTGTAAGAAGCTCGAGATTACTGTGTGGAATCCAACCCTTTCGTATAGACACTATTCTTTTTATATAATTGTAATAAAAGAATGTTTTAGAAGTTACTACTGAAGACCTCCAAAATTAGAGCTGGAACGTCGTGTAGCAAGGAA